AGCTTGTTAATTGTCCAATCTTCCAGCTCCATGGTATCAGATGTAGCATCATCCACCCATGTAAAAAAGTTACAGTGTGGCTTCTTTTCCTAAACCAAATTCAACTATACAGTTAATAACATTGACATTAGAAAAATAACGGATGAAAAAATCAACCTCACCTTGAAGTTGGGGCACCCAAAAAATGATTTATTAGGGTTTCTAATGGTCTTGGAGGTGTAAACAACATTGTGCCTCCCACATTTACACAATGGAGCAACTCTCCTTCTTCCACTTCTGGACCCAAACGAACTACTTGAGCTTCCCCTTCCAGAAGAGATATTCATGGCATAAAAACGTAGAACAACCCTAAATCGTACAGTATAAACCCACCTTCACTAAATCGTCAATCAATTTTCCCCAAATTCATGCGTTCAATCTTCGATTCAATCCCATGCTTTCTGGTTTAAGAACAACCCTAAACCATATGACGTCGTTCCTTGGATGAAAGTGAACTGATTCTGACCAACGTGGATGAGTCTCTCCAAACGACGTCGTTCCTAAACCAACGTGGCGTTCAGCATGTCACTTAACGTGACACATCAGCACCGTCAGTGACACCGTGAGTTTTGGATTAACAGAAGGACTAACGTGGGTCCTATTTCTCTTTGTTGGGGACTATCTAACTAATTTATTTTTGTGAGGGACTAATTTGGACATCGAGGTTTTTGTCAGGGACCAATCTGGGCATTTTTTTTTTTTAATTATGGTAGGACCCATAATGAGAGATATTTTGTTTCATGTTGCAAGATAAAATTAATCCATTGTTTAATTGTTTAAACCTGTAAGAAATTTTCAATATAACAGTGTATAAACTAAAAAATATATATTATTATTATATTATAGATATTATCTAAATATTACAAATTCCCCCCTTTACTTCACAATGTCAAGTTGTATTGATTATGTAATTTAATATCTTTAAAATTGATTATATATATTTTAGTGAAAATGACTTATCTGAATTAAGTCTATAATTTATGAAATAAAATAAAAAATAATATCTACTTTTTTTATAGATATCAACTATATTTGAAGTCCTAATGGATCCGAATAATCTAATTTCAAATTTGTGGCTCTTCATTTTTTATAGAAATTAAGACTCTCTGTTAAAATCGAGATTTTAAGTAAAATCGGAGGGGATTAAAAAATCATAAAACACAAAATCGTAATATAAAAAAATCATAAAAATGTAAAAGCGTTTGAGATATTAATAAAATCATTTTGATGAAAAAAAATCATAAAAACATAAAATCGTAATAATAAATTGAGATTTTAACAACTATACTCTCAAGACTCAAATTATTGTCCTTTAGACATGTCAAATCGTAAAGTCTAACCGGATCTGTACTATATCAACAAATTTTGGATAATAATATTGTTTTTTAATCTCCAAGCATTTTACTGAATCTTTTGTTTATCTGAAGAAGATTTGTTATCTTAAAAAAAAAAGATTTGTTATGCTTTTTATAAACGCATTTATAAATCTTATACCTTGTATCAATCAATGAGATGCAGCGGCAGACGCAATCATGGGCTCAGGTTAAGGCTAAAATATTGTGGCCCAAATACATCAGCGTAATGGCCCAGACTGGAGAGTTATTGGGTTTAGGTTACGAGATAAAAAAAAATTAATTTTTCAACCCTTTTTTATATTTCTTTTAGAAATGTTCATTAGCAATTTAGCATGGCTAACCAAATGAAATTAAAAACTAAAGCAAACTAATTAAGTTGATTCTGGTGTATTGATATAATAGTCGGGTCTAAATTCTTCATCTTAGCACGTTTGTCTCCGTCATTTTCTTAAGAAATAAAAATAAAAATAAAAAGATCCAATGGGGGTATGACAAAATAATTTCAAAACTGAAGTAAACTAGTTCAATTGATTTTGGTTTATTTGGATTAAAAAACAAAAAAGAATTGAACCAAATCAAATAAGCTCGTGTACATCTTTAATTTCTTTTTACACTCTTTTTCTGATTTTTTTTGTTTATATATATATATTTATTTATTTAAATGACCTGGTGCTCAACTGCTAATAACAAAACTACAAGGATTGCGTGTTCAAATTAGGGTGGTCTTAATATAGATTCGATTTAGAATTAACGATATCTTTTTTTAAAAAAAATTAAAAAATTAATTATGAATATGTATGTGACTAGGAAAGTTCCACCATGAATCCCGGGTAAATAATTTGTTTGATTGTGTTTTTTTTTTTTCTTAAAATTGTTTTGTAAAACAATTAATGAAACAGTTTTCTTTGTGTTTTTTTAAGTTAAAAGTTAAAATAAAAAATAATAATTCGGATATATTCTCTAAATTTGATTCTAAAAATTAAAAAACAGTTATAATTTTTAGAATTATTTTTACAAAACAAGTCTTGTCAAACATTTTTTTTTTGTTTTTTATTCTGAAAATCAAAAATTATTTTAAAAAAAATCAAACATACCCAAAATCCTCCAAGTATTCCTCTATTTGTGGATAGGAAAAAGATGCAAAGATGAATGTAAGGCTATATTTATTTCCTTTGACAAAATTGAACGAAAAAAAAAAATTGGCAACTTCGAGAAGCTATTCAAATAAGTCTTGTTTATTTATTCTTGAAATCAATTTTTAAACTTTATATTACAAAACAGTTTTGATGAACTAAAAAACAAAATTAAATTCAAATTCAAACAGATCATATATACTCATCAAAAAATTAGATTATAATAGGTAGGTTGAAGCCGAGATTTTTTGGCATCCACAATATTCTGTTAAACTCTAACCATACATTTGGATGGCTGAAATTAAAAGCATATATGCTTGATGAAGGATAGGACAGTCAAAACTCTAAAAATTGAACATACTGTGTAACTTTTGGCATCCTATTCAGGTTTTGCACCGTTTACTTGTGGAGAAGATAGTGGGGGCAGAATAAGATAAAGTATCATATATTCTTCCTATCCATCATTTGGTAAATGAACAAAGTTTAATAAGCTTATATATTGACTTATTTTATCCTTGTCCTTAGTTTCATAAGTTATTCCATAGGTGGGCTTGGATTAAGGATGGTGTATAATATTGGATAAGATCAGATAGTATAAGATCTGATTGTATAAGACCTGATTAAATTTTAATACTATTCAGCGTTTGGTATGATATTGTATAAGATAATATGTTCTAATATTTTAAAAATTAATATATTAAAAACAATTATTTTAATATATTAATATTGAAATGATATATTAGTTTTTGAGAATTGTACTTGTAAGCAATATTAATACATCAACCCCTTATCAGGTCTAATCTCATCCTCTTAGGCCTGATTAAGTTATACATCATTTTGATGTATTAAGGGGTTCTGCTGTATAAGTTTATACTATACGATGGTGACACCAAACAACTGAAAATGTCATAACGTATAATATAAGCTTATACTATCATGCCTTATACATCACACCAAACAGACCCTAACATTAAATAGGATAGGATAAGAAATTCTTCTTCCAAAATTAACCCCCTGTTTATTTTTATTTTATTTTTTATTTTTTTGTACATGTTTATTTACCTTTTTTAATAGGGAAAAATATTTCTCCGGTCACTGGAGGTAAAGTTGTCTTCAGTGAGCTCAAAACGACATCGTTATGGAGTTATAGGATTAAAAAATTATAATGATAAAGACTAATATAACCCTGCAATATATTAGAATTACAAAAACACCTTGATTTCCGCCCCAAAATGACGTCGTTTTGCACTCACCGGAGATAACTCATCTGACCGGAAAAATCTTTTACCCTTGTATCAATCTTGATATTATTTAACTCTCTTCAAACGCAAAATATGTTAATACAATCATATGAGACTATTTACTATTTATCTAATGCCTATCAAACGAGGAATGGTATGAGCTTATATAGCCCTTATTCTTTCCACTAATCAAGTCCAAAAGGTTCCAAAAGGTTATTGTGACAACGGACTAATTTACTTAAAACAAAAAAAACAAAAACAAAAAGAGAGGATGGATCTGGGTTGTTTAGTGTCAAAATCATATTTCAACTTTCAAAAGAGTTTACTTCTTGAATTAATGGCTGGCTCTTTCATTAAAATCCTTATATATATTTTGGAATATATATGGCTAATGTAACAATTCAATGATAGGAAATCCTAATTAGAAGAAGTACAACATAAATCTATGTTTCAAAGTACTTTTGCACCTTTTGGGAAGGAGAGAAAGAGAGAGGAAGAAAAAAACTTGAATGCTCATCTTTCATTCAGACTAAAAATAATGTAGAATCTAACTAAATCCAGAATATATAAAAGGGAAAAGAAAAGGAAAGATAATAACGTATACGGAATTGAACATGCACTTAAAACAGAAAAAAATGTGTGCAAGTCCAAAAGTATGAAGATATATCTCTTCTATGTTATTTGGACAAAGCTAGCTCCTCTTAAATGAACCTATTTCTAAAATGAGTAAACAAAGGTGTATCTATATTTAAAATTTAATAGGTTAAGATCAAGATACATTTTAAATTAAATCAAGGGTGAATACACTAATACTTTTAGAAATAAAGTCACTTACCAAATGATGATAACTCAATTGATGCTACGAAACTGAGCAGATGAAGGCCAGAACATTTGATGGAGGTGAGAGTATGTGGTTGATCTTTTCCAATACTATCTTTGGAAGGAGTTTGAAGCCTTAATCTCGCCGTCCCGAATCGGACTAGTTACAAAGTAATGAACTGATTGGAATATCTCAAAAAAAAAAATCAAAAAAAACAAACAAACTCACTTTATGAGAGCTTTTCCATGTTACCTCTACGAATTTCTTTCACATAGTTCTCAAGAGGCGTGTGCTTTTTTCATGCCTTTTGTGGTCCAAATATGGGACCTCATGATGCATGCCACAATCCTAGTACGGTCATCTCTCCTCTATAAATATTGGTTTAAGGCACAGCTTGGAAGACATAGCAGCTCATACAAAGCTTTGAAACTTAACATTAATATTTCATTGCCAGTGCTTCTTTGCTCTCAAAAATCATCTTGTCGAACACTTGTGGAAACTGTGACTGCTCTAGCAAGAGTCAGTGCGGGTAAGTGTTCTGTTTCCTTCTATGCCATTAGGCATATAAACTATGGGGAAATGAAGTATACGTCGCAGGAAACACAAATTTTGTCCTACAGGCATCATCAAAAGTAGTGTCAAGCATTTTTTTTTTCAAGTGGGCCCCGCACTTTTTGTGTATATGTAGGACAAAAGTTATTTTTCCTGCAACATGATATTTCATTTCCCCATAAACTATATTTATGAACTTTTGAGCTACTAACTCAAGCTTTTGAGATGAAGGTTTCATATTTAAACCTTGTTCACATATTTAAACTTTCAGAATAACCAACTAGTTCAGCTGTATGCGCAGTGCATCTATAAACTGCATGCACTAGATACATATCTCTAAGTGTGACAAACTTTTAGCAATATTCCTTATCTAAATGTATCAAGCTTTTGTCTATTTAGTCGGGATACGCTTTTTAAGTTTTGTAAACAGATAATTAGTGAAAATATTTTATATCAGTTGTGCTTTGAATTATTTATTTGGTATATACCCTGAATTCTTATGTTATGTGATTTGTAATCCAGGAAGAAGGGAAGCAACTATGCTCTTGACATAGTTGAGACTAAGAAGAGGTAATGTCTTAAGTTTGATGACCATTGTCTTGTATGTCCAGCCTATGGACTTTGAGATAGTAACAATATAAGTGTCTTGTTTTTGCAGCTATGTGGAGACTGTTGTCATGGACATTCCTGCAGCTGTGCAAGTGCGGTACTAGCTGCTCTTGTGTCAACTGCACATGCGGTCATTAAGACCATACTATGTTAAAATGTGTGGCTGTGTTAAATGTGATGCTCATGTTGATGTAATCACAGTGAATAAATGTGTGTTGTGTTTGTGTCTGAGTTATATTTTTCCTTTGTGTCCATCTCTGAGTCTATAGTAATGTAGTAGCCATCTTTGTGGCTTTATGCGATTGAATGGACTAGAAGTTACTACATAGAACTCATTTCCATTGTGTCATCTCTGCTTCATTTTTCTTCTAAACCTTTATTTTCAAATCTTACTTAACATTATCGAGGTAAAGATGAACTCAACCTGCTAAATCCCTATTATGTAGTTAAAATTCCACTCCACAACATGTGATTTCATGATTCAGTACTGAAGAACTAACAGCAACAATATTTGAAGCAGAAAAAAATTCCTATTACAGTAATCATTGCTCATATATCTTTTAAGATAGAAAATTTATTTCACAAACTCTTATACATTGGCACTAGCATACGAGAAAAGGATAATCCCATTCCCATATAAAGAGCATGCAAGAGATTAGAGAGGTTTGAAATCAAGATGAAAGGGTAAAATTTTAAAAGGGATAAATATATGCCCTTAGGTTTGTAATGAATGCAGTACTAATGAATTCACTTGGAAACAAAAATGCACCAAGAAGAAAGAACATCTGCATATGATGCAAAAGATGCAAAAGAATCATGCTTTCTACTACATATTTCGAAATATATGGTTCTTGCAAATGACTGGGACAACAAATTAGACTAATTCTAAATTATGTGTATAAAATCCTAAAAATATGGCTACGATGTTATGGCAGTGCTCCTTGGATTTGACGTCAACATGATTAAGTAATGCCATGGTCCTAGAGTAAAATAGGAAAATTTGAATGGCAAGAACAAGCTCATGAAGCCATGTGAGTACAAGCAAGGTAAATTATTTTGTATAATTGACATAAAAATGTTTACAAAATATATTATATAAAGACAACACCACTAATTTGGAGACAAATTCATACATCCTGAGCAACCCCAAACCCTAAATTGTTATTCCCAAGAGGATCACCGTTATTTATTTTAAGCACACCCCTTTAAACTTTATGCCACCCACCTAAATTCAATGGTAGAAATCCTAAGTGGAAATGATGATCATCAAAACACTCACCACTCACCCAACAAATGTAAATCTTTTACTCCCCACAAAATTTTCTAAGACAAATTCAGTTTATTTAAAAATTAAATCCACTTACTTCGAATATAAAGATAGTGACACTAAATTCTTACGTATCCAAATTCTAAAATTCTGACTAAAGAAGAATGGACAATCACCCATATGGTAGAGCTAAGATTCCCAGGCAAGCTTGACTTTTGATAAGAAATCTAGGAGACCATATCCTGGAGACATCCTACCCATTAACTTCAATGCGTAGTAAAGTAGTTTATCAACCAGTAATGCTAGTATATTATCATTATTTAAAAATAAAAATGGTAACAAACTGTAGCAAAATAGTTCCGAGTTAAAAAATCAATTAATCATGCTCTTTGATCTATTAAGGATTAATCTACAATGGAGATTGGAGAGTTTATTTGTAAAGAATCTGAAGATCAATAAACGCAGCTAAGATTATTTGTAATGAATAATTAAAGCACTGATGAATCACGTTGGTCCCTGTCATAGTTATATAATACGCCCATGTCTGTGGCATTCTGTGGTTAAATGGACTAAAATAAGCATACTTCTGCTTTTTCTTTCCGATTGATAATATCTTTTTCATTATGAACTAACACTGCCAATGACAATCATCATCATACTTCTTAAATATCACAAGACAGAACCAATTTTTTGAATACAGACCAAGAGGACAAAAATGATAACTTTTTACCAAGTTTTATATAGTATGTGGCAGATGAAATTGCGCTGCTATAGAAACCTGTATCTACATCAAAACGAAGATATACAGGATTTGAACCATACTTGAACACAAGGGGAATGATAAAGCATTAAGGAAACACTTGACTATGGTGAATAGAAGTAATGACTGCAAATGTACAGATAATCAAAGATGCAGAAACGATTGGGCGGTGTTTGTTTACCATCTACATAGGCGGAGCAACAATATGCTCAATGTCGACAGCACACACTAGCTCTATAGACACATGGTGATGAATTGATGATCCCTTAAAATGTCCACACTATTTTCTTATGCATGACTTCATTGAAAAATTAAAACAACTTAGAGAATCATTGTACAAAATAAATATAATTCAATCAAATACACGTAGTAAATCATAGGAAAGAAATTTAAGCATAACTTTTTTTGTACATTTTAACAAAGTAAGCATCAAGGTATTGAAGATGAAGAAGAGAAGTTACTAAAGCAACAGTATTAGACCGTTCCATCTATATTGCTTATCCAACAAACTTCTAGAACAGCTGCCTACAGCCACCCGGCATGGGTTTCTTCCAGTTTTTGTACATTAGGACAGTGAACGAAGAATTCTGCTAAATTAAATTCGAACTAGTATCAAAGTATACCATTCTTCTTCATCTCAGGCCCTCATTTACATGGCCAGGACCAGGATGAATACAAGGATTCTGCCATACATAACATCGAACAAGGAAAGGAGTCAAAAATCACATGATTCTTTCAAGTTTAAGATAAGGTGTATAAACCCAAATGGCCTCCTAACAGACATTTATAAAAGGATTATCTTTATGCATTTTGAATTTTGATTGTAAAGCTTTATTCTTATCCTATAGCTCCTGCATAAGATCTGGTTCAACATTCAGCACAAAGTAGTGTATATCTTGTTCCTTAATGTAATGCAACTCATAATATCACTACAAAAGCATCCAGTGAAGAACAAAAAGAAGAGCAGTAAGCAGTCAGAACCATTGACTCTGCACATGGTAAGGAGAGTTTTGGAATAAAAAGAAAAAGAAGGATAGATTTTTCATTTCAAGTAAATATTCTCTATATTTACCAATCTTTTAGATGAAAGCCATAAAATGATAAATTGTCATAAACCTTCCAAAGGTGCAACCACAGCTCCAGCTCTGCAAAAAGGTCCATAAGACCTTCACGAATCCTCCTCTCTATCATGAAACAATCCAACCATTCCTTATTAATTTTCATAAACCCTACATAACTCTCTTCATTCAAAAATGAAAACTTTACCCTCCCTTCCCTTCACTTTCACTCCATAACCCTTAATCCAAACATAAATTTCCAAAATAACTATCCCTGCTCCTCAACTAGCAATTTTTATTTAAACTACGAATTGCATGCCCAGCAATCAATTTCAAAATACCATCATGTATGTAAATTTTATAAATAACAACAAAATTTTTACTGTGAACCAAAATCTGTATATAAAAAAAAAAAAAAAAACTTGCTTTTATGTGATCACAGAATCTCAAACATTGAAACCCTCGGAGCGGAGGCAAAGGCGGTGAGCCTCAATCCATTTGGCGCAAGCATCTTCGCCGTGCTCTACCACGCATTCATCTCGGAGTCTCTTCGTCTCAGGGCAAGCACAACAGATCTTCTTCTTCGGCTTTGACGCTTCACCACCAGTTTTTGTTGCAGTTACTGAGCCTTGGTTCAACGCAGGGGAAGCAGCAACACTACCCATTCGCACTCAATTCTTCTGCTCAACAAAGAATTTTCAAATAGAATTAGGGTTAATTGGCGTGCCCTAATTCGTGCCTTGAAACGAAGCGTTGAGACTTGGGAAGTGCAGGAGAGGTTCTGGTAAAGACTAGAAATTGAGGGATAAAATATAGGTAGAAATAATGAAGCCTTAACTAAGGGTTAAAATTTTAAATTATGCTTTTGAGTAATATATTGGTATATAATATTTGACTTATTTGAATTTAGAATGTATGAAAACTATCTAGTTAAAATTGGGATTCTACTTAAAATTAAAAGGAGGATAAAAAATCGTAAAACATAAAATCGTAACGTAAAAAATCGTAAAAACATAATAGCATTTGAAATTGTGATGAAATCGTTTTGATTAAAAAAAATCGTAAAATCGTAAAATTACATATTTAAATTGGAATTTTAACTATCCTACCAAAGACACAAAAACATTAAGATTCAAAGTTCAGATTAATAAAATTTGTATGGTCTAAAAATTATACAAGTCTTGCATCTTTTGGCCTCATTAAGGTTTTTTTTTTTTTGAATTTGAAATTAATTCTCTCTAATATTCACAACTAATTTCATATGCACTGGAGAGATTCTTTTTAAGGCTAATAAGTCTTATATCACATCTCATGATGGACGAAAATTATTTGTTGGTATTTATAATGTAATTAATGATTAATTAATATTAATTAACTCGTATGACTTCCTAAATTATAACCGTTGGATGCACGAAAAAATAACGGCTGAGATTGGTGTAAGACTTATTAATCTTATACCGATGTAAAATGATCCTCTGTATATATAAATTGATCCTGATATTGATCCTCTCTATATATATATAGAGAGAGAATAAAGCCCCTTCTGGATCCCTAACAAAAAATACGATTTTCACTTTAATGTTTTACAAAAAAATTAGTTACCTGGTTTGTGTGAAATGCAAAATGGACCCATTTTAGTCCTTTTGAGAGACTAATGTGGGTCTTTTTGAATTTGTGAGGGATTTCGATTTCAACTAAATGGGTCCACTTTGAATTTAATAGAAATCATGCGACTAATCTTTTTTTATAAAGGACTAAATTGAGGACTCTGTTTTTTGTTAGGGACTCAAAATGAGTTATATATATATATATATATATATATATATAAATATTTATTTATGCGAATAACATATGTCATTTTAAAGAGGATATAATCTTATATTATTTTAGATCCTAACCGTTTATTTTCGTCCATCAACGGTTATTACTTTTTGGATCAAAATTATTAAATAATTAATAATAAATTTAGCCCATTAAGTTTGGCCCAATAAATCATAACCGTTGATTGACAGAAATCAACGGTTAGGATCTAAAAGGATAGATTTTTTCCCTATATATATATATATATATATATATATATATATATATATATATATATATATATATATATATATATATACGAGAGGATTATATTTAAAAACTTTTTGTTTACAAACTCTTACAAATTTTAGTATGTACTCCCGGAAGTACACTAGGTTATACTATGTACTTTCGCGAGTACATAATGTAATTTGCAAAAATTTATAAAAAAAAATTATAAACAGATACTTCCTTCCTTATATTTATATATGTATTGTCTTTATTTGACATAATTAAACCCTTACCTAAAATTTAACTTCTACAAATAATTAATTGTTCAGAGGTCTGACCGTCTGAGTTCGAACATGGAGAATGTAAAAAATGATTTTAAAAAAATTAACGTATTATTATATTAATATCTATTTACGAAGCTATTTTGAAATTAAATACAAATTTATTACACTCAATAATGCTTAATTTCAGGTGTAATCACTCACGCCGTGCATGATAAGTAACCTATGAGATAAATATATCCTGCATAAGGCGTGACTTGGGACGAAAGAGAGACACCTAATATGAGGCATGTACTAAGAAAGAGACATGCCGCAAGCCGGCAGTGATTTTTGGTTGTGGGGCGTGAGTCACCGTGGGGTTTGAGTGTTCATTCCACAGGAAATGATACCCAAAGTCATCATACGTCACAAAGAAGAAGACAACGAAAAAGAGAAAATCTCCATTTGCATATAATGCTATATATATTTTTTTTAAATATTATCTTTTGTTATAATCCTCTTTATAATTAATAAGAAAGTATTAAATGAAAAACTAAATGCAAAGTTCTTTCTTTTGATATTTCAAGCCTCTCATAATTTCATAAAAATCACAACTAGTGATCTCTGAAAGCTAATGCCTAATGAAGATAGTAAAGATTTATGAATAGATTTCAGCATATTAGCAAATAGCAACTATTTTTAAGTTTTTTATTTTAGATGATTTGCATATTTAGTTATTCTTCTTCTCTTCAAATGAGGTATGAAAGCGGTTAATATTTTAAACAACTGAAGCATTTAATATTTTTAATTTTTAATTCATTAATATTTTTCAGGCACATGTTATCGATAGCCGTAAATTGAAATTAATAAGAAGAGGTGTATGAAAGCTTTTCTATCCCTTTCTCTCTCCTCTCTCCTCCCTTCCATGTGATCCGGGATCACAAAAGAAATGCTCCTACTAAGGCATAAAATTTGCCGAAATCGAAGAAACAGACATAATGCTTTAAGCTCTCATATAGTCATATGTCACGTTTTATATTGGGCATATCTCTTTCCTTCTTGATCACGTCCTAGATAGGATATGTCTTTATCTTAAGTTATGCCTAGGTCTGGTCGTGAGTGGTTATGTTCAATTTTGAACGTAATTGAATACAATATATTTATATTTAATTTTAAAATAACTTTGTTTTCGTAAATAATTATAAAAAAAAATAATATTTAAATTTTTTTGCCGTCCATTAGTATTTAAATCAAACTAATCAAATAATCCATCTAAAATTCAACCTTTACATGAAACATAAAAACGCATTCGTTGATCTTTAGGAAATCTTATAGTTGCACTTGCATCTATGTATTAGAAAGCAATGGAATTTTCTTACCACAGTTTTTTTTTTTTAAATAATAATAATTGTTTTCTTACCATAAAGTTGTGGCATGGTCGTTGATAAAATTTTAAATTACAAATTTACAATGGTAATTGGTAACATAACATAAATAAAAACAAACATATGAAAATGAAACAACAACTGTCAGATTGAATGTATAGTAATATATAATATAATCTGGATAAACACATTTTCACCAATATAATGGATGCAACACAGAAAAAATTCACACTGAAAATTGTACACATGAACAGATGAGCACAAGAAGAAGTTCCATCCTTTGTTAGCCAAACATCCACAAAGTCTCCTCATACACCATGACAATTTCAGCAATCACAGCCCAAACAAAACACAAGATTTTTCATCAGATGTAAGCACAGTTTCCAGCAAAACTCAACCTTTGTTTGGCACTGTTAACACTTTTACAAACCCCCAACATACTAAACTAATCAATCATATTTGTCCCTCCACATGTACACAAGAAAGAAGACCCATGAAATGGCCAATGCAATGTCCCCAAAAGCATGCCTGGGCCAGTTATGGGCAAGATCTTCATGCTTACTCTCAAAGTAGAATCTCCACACTGCCATAGAAATGTGAAGAAGCACACACCCTTTTGCAAAGAAACTCTGGAACTCCAAGTCCTTAACACAAGCAACCATGAACACAAGGAACCCAATTGTGAACAACAAGAACCCAGAGAAGGAATCTGAGGTTTGAATCAGTAGCTGATCGTGGGGTGTTGACCCTTGAAGCTTGCTTGCTGTCTCTTCTCCATGACCAAACACAAAGATCTCTTTGGAGTAAAACACCATAAGAGCTCCACAAGTCAAAGCTATTGCAGAATGCAGAACACATATTAGGAAAAAGCCAGAAGTTCCCATTGATCCAAAAACCACTGTGAAGGTCTTTTACTTTCTTACTTTTAACTCAATTGAGCTTCTTTTCTTCCCCAGCAATGGCAGTTGAAATTTCAAGGCTTATTTTACCAGTAGTATAACAACAGAGCTAAACTCATGAACAATGACCAATACTGATTCTAGTTTGAAGCATGATAACTTCTTGATCAAACCCTATAGGACTTCAACTTTTATAGTTTCAACAAAACAGAAAGTAAAATTGATGAGGGCTTAGTCTACTCTAACCTTTCAAACTTAGAAGCAAAAGAGTGTAGAAGTTTTCCTTGATCATAATTCCTTGACAAATCTCAACAAACAAATAACTAGAGCCTCAAGAAAGAAGGCTCACATAGGGAGAGGATTAAATTTTGTGATTGAATTTGCATAGAGATTTATGAACCAAAGTTTGCCTCCATACCTGTAGCCTCCAAACACCATGCAGAAGATGCCATGCTTTTCTGGTTGCTTCTTTTCTTGTTCCATTAAGCAAATGAAAGCATGGTGGGTCATGGAAATGGGTCTACATAAGATTATTCAAAACATTGTGATGTTATATTATGTCATTTGAAACATATATGGCCCGATTTGAAGTTGCTTATCCTAAACTTTGTTGATCCTTTTAATATTATTTTTCGAGACTAAGGCGCTTTCAAGTCTTAAAGTTTGTGCTTATTTGATGTTATGGATAAGTATAGCAGAAACCTGTCATCCACCGCCCGAATTATTAATATCATGATATTTTTTATTCTTCATGTAAACTGTTCACAAAATGATATTGAGAAATGGTTGCATATTCTTGGAGCAGCAAGTAATGCATACTACAAGAAGATCATCATTAAATATAATTGAATAAATTTAAGTATACCAACATAAAATTAATAATAAAAATCTCCTTACAACGCAATAATTGTTGTTTCAAAAGCATGTTAGAATTTCTCGTACTATGAATGCGGGATTATGGATGTCGGTATAGAAAGAATCAAAGGTGAATGAATGCAAGGGAAAATGCGACTAACCCCTTTCCTGTTTTTGGGCTAACCCAAGATGGGTTAATATTTACTATTATATAGGGTGTTAACTGGGTTTTAAAATGTTAAGTCTGTGTTTAAATGTATCAGTCTGACCAAACTTGTTACCTGTTATAAATATAACTATCAGCCTGTGGTCTGGCTTATTTACAAAAAATAAAAATCTTGTTTAGCCTGTTTTAAAAAAAATAAGACAACAAAAATTTATCCAAACAGAATATACAATCAACAACCCTAGTAATTCCATAAATATTCATAAATTCAATTTATATCCAAACAACATAATATAAAACAAAATTATTCAAAAAGTCTCTTTAACCAATAAAATGGGGTGAATGGATTGAGGAAAATGAGATTGCTATTACAAGTAGTATAAAAAATATAAAATATAAATAAAAAATAATATACTAGGCCAGCCTGAGAAGTTTTAAGGCCGAACTTTTGAATTAGAGTCTGAGACCTTTTTATTAAACGAGCTTTTATAAAAGTTCAAGCATGTGCCAACAATCAATTTTAGACATGTAAGCTCAGGCCTTCACGAGCCGAGCCAAAGACCCCTCAAAGGTCCCTGGTTTGTTTAGCACCCCACTATTATATGTAGAATCAAAAAGTGGATGTACCAAAAAAGAAGACTGCTATAATCAGAGAGTAAAATTAAGTAGATGTAGAGTGATATTTGTATAAGCATATATGAGTAATATTATTCTTAATAAAGTGATAATATTTAGAATATTTCAACAGAATATAATTCAATCAAATACAATTATATTTTCTTATAATTAAGGTTATTTAATAACTTTTAAAAAATTTGTATATTTCGTTTAAACAAATATATTTATGTAAGTGTCATCTTTCTGTACATAAACTTTTGATGGAAATCTCCATACACCATTCATTAATTAGCAGTGCCTGCACAAAGTGTGAATTATGAATTGTATTATTTATTTTTTTCAGACAACACCGACTGTTTTTTCTACTTTTATTTTTCAACCATTATTAAGAACTAACAGAAGCATCATTTCTTAACAGTAGCCAAAAACATGGTAACACTTGGCTGGAGGAGAAAACTTAATAAATAAATCACGTGTACGAATTATTTTGTGTGCAAAATGCACTACTGAGAACCCCTTCTTTCTTTCTTTTTCTACTTGTTCTTTCCCTTTTGAAAAAGGTGGTGAAGATCTTAACCAAAGGGCAAAGGCACTTATTTACAATTAGAACAGAAAAGGAAGGAATAATTTCAAAAACGTATCAGTTGTTCAGAACTCTTTGATGTATAATTTGCAACAAAGAAGGCATTTACAATTTATAAACCATGTTAAAAAGAAACCAAAACCTCAAGGAAGAAGAAGAAAATACTAAAATGAATTTTGGTTCATAACAACATTGCCTACTTTATGATGACGCTTTGAACCTGATCTCCTATCTCTCCCACGCCTAGGATTCTTCTTCAACTGAGGCCTACTAGTAGTAGTAGTAGTAGTAGTAGTAGTATAGGGAGCAGGTGAACCAGGAGGACGCATTACAACAACCGGAGGAGGAGGCATGTGCTCCAATATGTCTCTATGGTATGCCTGATATTATTCATCACAAAACCAACAACATCAAAATCCTTAATTTCAAAGACTTGAAGACAAGATATATATTCTAAAACAAGTTTAATTACTTTTCGCAAGAAATAAGATGCAAAGAGAACTTTCAAAAGGTTACACTAAATTTGATGCATTAGCCAATCTCACGAGGGAAAAATGGTTTGCATTATTGCATCTGACTCAACTTCCAAAGTTGTGCAGTGACTATCATGAACTTGACCCTTTCTTCCATCATCTTGTATTTCTATCTTGGATACTAAAAACTAAGAGAAGAAAATCACTGTGCTCAATTTGAAATTTTCCTTCTTTCCCCCTTTTTCTTAATCTGAATATAATTGCCAATGCGGCTCTGACATGCATAGTAATACATAAAATGGTAACAGCACATTAAATAACTTGATGACTCTATACCCGATAAAACTAGGGATGTTCTCATGCAAAAAAAGTTTTTTTAAAAAAATAAATAAATTGGGATCTCAAATACAAAATCCCCCAAACTTCTCTGGATCTATTACTAGTTAAAAAGTACAAACATTTGGAAGCGAATTTTGATTTCAAAAACTAGTAGCTTCTCTAAAATCTAAACACAAACATGGCAACATGCAAATACTAACCTGTATCACAAAGTTTCGCCTTTCACAATCCATAAACATATTAATACTCCAATCTACTTTTGCCATTATTTTGTCTCTAACTGTGGAAAAGCTTAACTGATCCCTGGAAGTAAAGCGATCAACTTCATTGAACCACAAGCACGTAAACAGATTTGTAATTGGAATGTGTTCTCTTATGATAACACAACCTTCAGGAACATCTGTAATAACTCAGCCATAAGAAATATTTCAGATTTTTAAGATGGAGACAGTAAATATATGCAAGCACAGGCATGCATCTCCACAAATAATCCATTTTACACATGCAGGCATGTATATATCAAAATTGTTCCTACCACTAGTTATAGGAAGCTTAGCCTTGGAGTAATGAGTTAAACCATCGTGGTATTGATAAAATTGAATTTGGTGATCAATGGAAGCATTTTCATATTTCCCAGCAGCTTTATTAGCCTCAGCCTCGACAAAGACATCAAAGCGTCTATAGTGTCTAGAAATTGCAAAAGTTGCATTTGTGCGCCACAAGAACCTGTATGATATAAAAGCCAGTAATCATGAATATATTACAGATACGCAATCACATTATTGTTGACATATATCTTCTTAATACATTGTGTCGTATAATAAAGCCAAATGAATAAAATGCTATACACATATGAACATTGTTCAAAACAACAGAAGAACCGTAGCTCGTGAAATAAAAATTCAAAGATAATATTCAAATTTTGTGAAGCAAGCAACACCCATGATCAAATAATCTCAATGCAAACAGCTATATGAAGAGTGAAATATGTCAAAGTAAGCAAAACAACCACAATAGTAAAGATGTGTTGCAAGGACAGAGCACGGGTTTATTACTTCCCACCACATGTTGACAACTTTGTCTGGTGAATTTGAAAATGGCACAAGTTATTCAAGAACGGTCTTGGACCACATTATAAAATGTTAAGCATTTATTAACGAGTTCCTTACTTCCTTGAGGGAAATTGTCAAAAAGTATTCAATAAATGCTTTTTGGATACGCAAGATTTTAAATGCTTCCACTTTTAATTCAATATCCATTTTAATCCCTTAACCAGTGTCCTAAGGGCACTTGTCAACAACACCCAAACTATTTTTGTAACATTACAAAAGTCTACTTGGTTAAGTAAGCAGCAGTTACTTGTAGAGCACCAAAAGTAAATGGTAGTGTCTTTTGATCATCATATCACAAATTTAGTATAAATAGAAACCTATGTCAGTATTATGTAATAAGGAGATTCTATTTAGAAAGTTGGGTACGTGGACTGGTAGCAGCTATAAGGTTTAATGAAAATTTCAAATCTTTCACAGAAAAATACCAAGGAGAGAGACCAACTTGAAATTTCCCTTCACCATATCATATACAATATCTATCGCTTGTTATCTTACTGCAGTACATCAAATTATAAGGGATACGCACAAGTTTCATCGAAGTTGAAAATAGTGAAAAGAAATAAATCCTTTAAATAATATGGTTGGGATTTCAATACCAAAAACTTCCCAGATAAAAGTCAATAAACAACTGTCGAAATCATACAATTTCATCAGAACAGAAATTGGAGCCAAACAATATCATTCTTGATTCTCAAGTCTAAATGACAGTACATAGAAACTAATCCCAATCCACAGATAACAGGAATAAAAATCCGAATAAATTTTAATAAAAAAATATGACAATTTACCTTTCAAGAATTTGATATGGATCCATAACGAGCTCAAGCTTCCCATCAATCCATATTGAATATCGGACATTGGGGAAGATCCTGTGCAAAAGAAGCTTTGGAACCTGCAATAAGTTTACAGGCATCATATGAAACCATACATAATAAATTCCACACTGATTAAATTGTAGGTGGACTGATATTAGAAATAGGGGGTATTACCAAAAATCTTATTGAACTTCAATAGAATACAAATCTGATTATTCATTTATTTAAAAAGCAAACTGTTCATACATTATTAAAAACCGATAATTCAGATTTCTTTTTCTTACAACCAATTAATTTTCCTTTCCTTTTCAGCTTTCTGAATAAGTTTCTATCAGATTTAAGCTTTTATCACACTTTCTAGTTCATTACAAAACAATTACCCATACAATCAACTATTACATCATATATAAATATCAATAAATCAATTTTTCAAGTTTTGGGCATGGAAGCCTCAGCTCACAGACTGGTTTAATGAAAACCTGCATAATTTCCATTCCTTCCTTACAAAAAGGCAAGCAGCCTCTGAACATAAGCCCTTCCTTCGATACTACATATACACTGAGGTAGGTAGTCGGCAATTAGTTTAGACTTTGGAGTAGGACAATCATAAGCTCAAAACAACAATTTTATACACTCCGATGAATGTGTTATTTAAACTGCATCAACTAGCAAGATCATTTATTAAAACATACAACACCATGATGTGGAAGAAAATGGAAACAAACAAAAAAAAGTGCAGAGATTGGGTCAGAAAATCAGAAGCTTCAATGAAAAAAATAAGAAATAAAAGAGGACAGTGTGTAGACCTTACATTATGTATGCTGAAATAGTAAAAATTTCATGAAATGTAAATGAGAGATTTCACAATAAAAATAAGAAGCCAAAAGTGAGCAATCAACCTTTCCGTTACGCCGAGAATCACCATAAGGAACATTACGGACAACAATGATTCTCCACAATCCAACTCTCCTGCTGCTACCCAAAATACTAGCATTCTTCATATACATTTCCGTTTCTTCATCAATGAACATGTAGAAAGGAATGTTTTTCTTTGCTTCTGAACTGACGTTTCTGGGCTGCTGTATAACATCATAGTTTCCTGGCATAGACGGAATGGAGCTATGAGAAACAGAAAAAAAAACAACAAAAAGTATAAGTAGAAAACATCAGTCATAAGTCATACCAAATATGGCAGAAGCAACAATGATATCATGGTAATGATCCAACTCTATGAGATCTGCCTCATCAAAATCAAATCCAGTCTGGCGACCAGCTCTGCTTCCTTTGACAAATCTGGTAAGAGTTTATGCCAGCCAGGGAAATGCAAGAAAAGGAATAAAAATCAATTCAGTAAGGAAAAACTAATACTTGTGGGATACTAATGAGGGTGATTAAAATTTAATGAATTCTAACAGGAAAATCAATTTCCAAATTGTGAGAGAATTAAAAACAAATAACAAAAATGAACTAACCCACAATGCACTGCCATGGTCTCTTTTATATCAAAAGCAGCATCCCTTTCTTTAAGAGAAGGGTATCCACCAAAATCAGAGCCACCATGTGGTTCACTTATAGTTGGATTTTCATCATGCACATATGTCAAATTGCGGAGTAAAGGAGACTCCGATGGGGAGCTTGGCATACTAGCTATAGCTTGCTCCACTGAAATATAACACACAGGGCATGCTGAAAGGGAAGACAGCAAGAGCCTGATCAAAATTCTAGAATGATAATAACTAAATCTGCACTATGTTGGTATATTAATATCAAATGCTATTACACAAATTCAAGATAAATATAATGTTTGTAAGTTAAGAATTGAAAAGTGAAAACAAGGCCCAAATGGAAAAAAAAAAAAAAAAACTTACGGCGCGGTCCAGTTCGTCTTCTGTCAGCTGGTGGTGGAGGAGGAAATGCAAAATTGTCACACTGATGTCCAAAAGTAGGAAAATATCCTTTTTTGCCTTTGGACTTAGATGAAGATGGTGGGTGAGGAGCAGGAGGAGGCCTTGATGTACGTCTATGCCTTATTTTCAATGAGTTGTCTATAGAAGAATTACTATCCTGTGACTTATCTTCTACTTCATGAGATTTTAAAACTTCAAACCTATTAATGGCATAAGATCGTGTATCTTCAATATCATTATTGATGTTTCCACCTAGTTCATCACAATACCAAAAGCACACCATAAAACATTCAGATTTAAAGCTGCAGATAATCAAAAGCGTATCAAATTAAAAAACAAGCATAAGAATCAGCAAAAGTCCTATACGAACACAAGACATTTCAAAGTATGATTGAATAGAAAGACCAGAACTGGAACCTAATAGTTATTATGGTTTTTCTTAAGACCACAATTTAGAAGATACATGAAATCATTGAAAATATAGTGTACCAAACTGCAAATTATACTATGTTGAAAGGGATTTGGGTAGGGGTGGAAGAAAACAGGAAATAAAGACTGAATGATATGAAATTGACATTAATTCGATGTGATATGATGTGATGCAAACTCCAAAGAACTAATCAATCGTGGAATATAAAGATAAAAGGAAACTATTCCTAAGAGATCATATAAGATATCCTGAACTATCCTAAGATACAACCTAAGATATTATGAGATATTTTTCATATATTCTAACATATTATATCTTAAAAGAATAAAACAAAATAAAATAGACCATATAAGCCCCCACAAGAGACGAGAGAAGTGATAAAGCTGCTCCTTTGTAACTGAAAGATCACATGTTCAAATTTTTATAGAGCACTCACCCCACCCTCGCTAGTCGGGGTTCAATGAGAGTGAATTTTTATAGAGCCCCCACAACTCAAAAAGGCGTAATATATGCTAAAACTACATTCAAATTAAACTCAAACTACCAAGAAGCAGGGATGCCAAAACACATTCCTCACTAACACTTCCAATTATGAGTGAAAAGCTATCAAATTTAAAAAATTTAAAAATAAAATACTAACATTGCATATTATAAAGCTGCTACTTTGTAACTGAAAGCTCAAAGGTTCAAATTTTTATAGAGCCCTCACTCCACCCTTGCTAGCTGGGGTTCAATGGGGAGTGAAATTTTATAGAGCCCCCCACAACTCAAAAAGGGGTAATATAATATATCTAAACCTACATTCAAATTAAAAACTCAAGCAACCAAGAAGCATGGAATGCCAAAACACATTCCTCACTAACACTTCCAATTATGAGTGAAAAGCTACCAAATTAAAAAAAATAAAAAATAAAAAAATACTAACCTCTGTAAACTGTAAAGCAACCAAATACGAAAACTAAAAAGCCAAAGACAACCATGAGTAGCATTGCAACCTTCCCTCTTCCAAGGTGCCGGCAAATCAAAGGGCAAACCCTCTCTCTTTCTCTGGGGTTATAAAGGAGCGCCTTTGAAGGTCTACGCACAAGCATGGGCACCGCATGAATCTGCGAAACGTTGCCGTTTTGCAGCAGCTGCAATGACCCATAGCTACCTGTACGTAGACCCAATGACACTCCAGTCATTGCTGAACCTTCGAAACTTCAACTTTCATATCTCCTTTTGCAGCAGCATCACATCACACCAATCTCTGACACTACCAATCTAAATCAACAATTCCCCAGAACCCAACAAAAAATAAATAATTAAAAAAACAAAAATCCCGCCAACCTTAATCTCTTGAAATCCACTAAAAATTCTCCATCACATTCTATGAACATTCGAAAACCCACGATCCGTTTCGATAGCTACATTGGATGTCGAGCTCTGGGATCCGAAACCCACGATTTATTTCTTTCGCTGAATGCTCAGGAGGCATCAAAACGGCACCTTGATCTGAAGGGGAAGGAGGGCACCGAATGTGGTGGTGTGGAGGGGGGGAATGGGTCCCGCTGAGATTCTGAGAACACGCGAAGCGAAATCCTTGGAGAACGACAACCTCGGCGTCGACGCTGTCGCGGTTTGGGTTTCGAATCGGAGATTGGGAGTGAAATTGTGAATGGAGAGAAGCAGAGAGAGATTGGTTGAGGCGTAGCGTGAATGGAGGGAAGAGACAAACAGCCACTTTTACTTAGAAGAAGAAAAATTGCACTAAGATTTTGAATGGGCCCATGGCCATTCACTGTGGCCCAAATCAATATGGCTCCAAAAACAAAAGTCCAAGGATCCCTTTCGAATCTATTGAATGGCCCATCTATGAGGGGAAGGAGGATTTGCAATGAAAATCAAGGGTAAAATTTAATCAATAAACCCACTTGTTTAGATGTTAATTTTCAGTATTTTCATAGTAGATAATTTTTCATTAAGAAGAAAAATAAATGGGATTCATATACATTAATTATAAAATAATGGTCTTAGGGATGGCAAAATGTGTCGGTGGGTCGGGTTCATGTCATGTCAATTCTAACAGTAGATCAAAATGTTCAATCTGAACATAACACGTTTTTATTTGCGGGTCAAAAATCAAAACCAACATACAATCCGCTGCAGGTCATGAATCACACAAGTTGATTGATGAAAATTAAAAAGTTGATTTTTTAAAAAAAATTTAAAAATAAGAAGAAAAAAAATGAATAAAATACACGAGTTGACCTGTGTCATGTAATTATCAAAATTTCAAAAAAATAAAATTGTAGATTGACACGTGGGTCAACTCGTTACACAACACGATACTAAATTTCATGTTATTAACCCAAACCTGCACACAATCTATTTTATCTCAAGAATCAATATTATTCACATTTTAACGTGTCATGTCTGGTAACGCATTTTTGCTATCCAAAAATGAATACAATTAGGAGGATATTTTTTCCAACTTAGGTAGGAGTGCAATATAAAGTTTCCATGTGTATAAGGTCTAATAAAGGGTTTATGATAGATAACTTTACATTTGAAAGAGACTCACAAAGGTACAATACTTTTAAGAAATGTTAGTTTATATTCAAATAGATACGTTTGACATCAATATATGATGTGAAGATATACTAAGAAATTGGTCCACTAGTTGGTTATTTTCAATCCACTAAATTTAGTTAAACAATGACTTATTAATTAACAAGGTACATAGATTGATTAATAAATATAATATATTTTAAACTCATATATTGAGTTTTGGTTAATTAAAAAGTTTTAAAATGACTTAGAATAATTAAATATGAATATATTTGTTTTGGTACATGAAGTACGAATAAATTTTTATTGAACCATGTTTGAACATTTGTTATTATAAAATGTAAGAATGATGTAGACTTCTTGTGTACAAATAACGAAGGTGCGTTCAATTTCAACTGCTACCAATGGTGAGTATTGTCCTCCAAATGCCTTTTTGTGCTTTTCAAAAGCTAAGCATAAATACGGATTCACTACTTCATTTGCAAGTTGCAAATATTTCGACTTTGTTTACTCCACCCTTAACCATGTACCCAGTAAACAAAATTTTTGTCACATTCAAAGAGTCATCGCGTTCATTTTATAAAAAACTAAACAAATTTTGTGTGCTTATTTATAATTACGGCGTTACAGTATAATTATATAAAAAAATTATATACAGAGACATAATATTGTAATAGAATAAGGTAGTTACAAGTAGAAGTTTTCTTTGCAAAAAGTTAAAACAACTTTATGTCCTGACCAAGAAAGATAACTTTGAGCCACTTCATAACAGATCTTCAAGTTGGTAGAAATCATTTGGGCATGACTAGAGGCAAAAAAAAAAGGTCCAACATTAATTTATTATTAATATGTGTCTATGAGGAACGTTCAGTGAAAAAGACCCCATAGCTGAAGGGGTAATCATAAGGTTATTTGAAAACATGGTTACCCACTCTAATGGCTATCCATCCTTTATAGCAACTCCACCATTCCCAACGATAAATGTTAAACAAGATTCACATCATGATCATAATTTTTACGTTGAATAATCTCTCGCCACACTTCTAGTCTTTTGATCTAATAATTCTCTTTTGAGACCAAAGTAATTTCTAGTCCATTTTTATAATCGCAAGTAGTTTACTTCTATTCTAAGTACTATCCACCCTATTCGTGTAAGAAGTAAAATGTGTTGGAAATCGAAACACACGGATCACAAAATAGAAAAGAGAAAGGAAATAAAAATTAGACACGGTTATTTATACTGGTTCATTTAATGTAGATTACGTGTAGCTTATATGTATTATATTCATATCACTCTCACTCGTTAGAAGTCACTCGATTTATAAAGAAAATAAATATAATTTAGAAAACTCTAACAATAGTTATTTATGAGTCCAAGCCTAAAGTACTAAGAAAAGGAAAATTACAATAAATCAGAGATCTACAATAATATCATGTCAATTGGCTTTCTGCTAACCCCGCCAATAAGAGCACTCATCAATATCCGAGTATAAGTCATACCCAACAAAATATGCTAGGACAATGAGTGTAGTCCAAATTTTCAGTTGATAGATTTCTGCGATTTTTATTTATGTGACAAGCATGATTGTTTTGATAATTGAAGTGTAAAGTATATTTTGGATCCTCAACAAAAATTACGGGATCCATTTTAATCCCTTAGAAACAAAAATCAACTTGTGGTCCCTCTAAAATTCAAAATAGACTCAATTAGTCGAAAATGTGATCCCTCTCAAATTTAAAGAAGACGCATGTTAGTCCGTCAAAAGGACTAAGATGGGTCTATTTTGAATTTTGAAGGAATCACAAGTTGACTTTTTTTTCTAAAAGATTAAATTGAACTCTGTTGCGAAATCGGCAAGTATACCGTTCGTTTCAAGTAATAAAATGATAAGTAAGATATCGTTCCCTCGAGGATTAATGCACCAAATACTAATTTTAACTATTCCCTTTTTAATTGGAAAAGAAAATTGGTTTTATTGTGAAAGTGATTGGTTGTTGTAATTTAAAAACAGAATTTTAAAAACAATAATATTTAAAAGCATGCAAGAGTTATCAAGAATATCAAGAAAATATGAGAGTTATGGAAAATTCTAAAAGAACTGTAGTCAAGATGCACTTCACCTCTGATCCTCCTTTATATTCCTAAATTGTATTTTATAACTAACTAGTTTATTAGCTCAGACAATTCATTATTTTCCTATAAAATAGTTGAACCCTAATGTCTTAGTGATTTCAACCCTTTAACCTAATTATAATCCTAGTGTCCTTGTAATTCCTCTTGAATTAAGCATTAAGCGAATGAATTAAAAATCCGCAATCTATGTAAATCTATGTCTAGGTCATGCACAAATTGTTATTCTACCCTTGTCCAGATTAAAACCACAATATATCTATTGTGAGCCCTAATCCTCAAAACCCTATAATAGAGCGATCAATTCTATCAAGGATGTGGAAAAATTAACACAGGTAAAATAAAACTAACTAAACTAATTAAATTATAGAAACAATTTAAGAACTATAAAGGATTCACATTGGGTCCGTGATCCCAACTACAAAAAGAAATTAGTCATACATATTAATGTCTGACTTAAACAAATTAAAATAAGAAAAATTGTTCATGAAAGAAAAAGAAAAAAAGAAGAATGTGAAGAATCAATGGTCTTCAGTCTTCAACTTCGGTGGAATCCTGATCTCCAGCGCGAGTCTCCAAGAATTCTCTCAATTCTCTGTGCTCGCGAGTCTCTCCAGCAAAAGATGTTTGTCTCTGGGGGTCTGAGTCTCTATTTATAGAGTTTGTGCCTTGCTTAAAAATCTTGATAAAATATTCATCTTGTATCTTGGGTTCAATCTTCTCTGATACAATATGAGATAAGTTAAAGATTTTCCCGTACCTCCCGCGCTACTAGCGCCAGTTTCGCACTGATAGCTTGGGAGTTTTATTCAGCATACAGCAGGCTCGCGCTACTAGCGTGGTTCCCGCGCTGACAGCATGGTTGGCATGAATGGCTGGCGCTGCTAGCGCCAGTGCCACGCTAGTAGCGTGGAGGTTTTGTCTTGAAAATTGCTTCTGGCGCTGACAGTGCCATACCCGCGTTAGTAGTGCGGGGCTTCAGCCTGGTAGCTTCCAATTTGGGCTTCTTTTTGTCCTATTTTCCTACAAAATTATAAGAAAATCAGTGACAAGATATCTGATTGAGATTTATCCATTTAATAACAATTCTAGCCCTTTTTATGCAAGATTGATCACAATTCTTTCTCTTTTTGGCTTAGAATCATATATATGCTGGAGGCATATCAAACAATTCTCAGATTTGAACGTTGTTGTCCTCAGCAATGTACTAGATCAAAATTAGAAACAAGGATGAATTCTGTGGAGAGAAAACATGGAACTTGAATATCTTAAGAGATCAGACTGCTATGCATGTATAACTCCCTATTAAAAACTTCAAACAATGCTTTTCAGTTTTATCAAGAAATTCAGATCATAACTTGAATGTTCCTCACTAGATAATTATATAACTCTCATCACTCTAGTGTCTGATAGGTTCACACTCATTCCATCAGTGTAGTATTAATTCCATAGGCTTGATCATATTCTCAAGTTCCTAAGATTAAGGAAACCATTTGACATGCATAGACTGATCAAAAGGTCTTTGATAGGTTATAACTTGGCCTGGTTTGGGGGTAAGAATCTTTTGGACAGAAGCTGATTAATTTGTGAGACTGAAATACTGAGATTTTTTACAATACTTTCTTCTCAGTCTTTAATTCTGCTACTTTTTGTCAAGTCGGGATTCTTATTCCCTTTTCACTACCTTTTCCTTTCCTTGTTTGCAGTTGTTTTCTTTCTTTTCTCTTTTCAATTTCATTTTTGCAGATCTTTTTTCTTTTGTCAACTTACTTAACTTTTCTTTTGAGAAGTACCTTGAATTTTTTTTCTTTTGATCAGCATTTCATTCTCTTTCAAGGCGTGTCGATGGGAATAGGGTTAAGTAATTTCATCAGATTTTTGAATAAATTGGTCTAAGGCTCAAAAGGGCTTAACAATGGAAAAAAAATTCTTCTAGGTAGGTTGTTTGGCTCTAAGTTAACAAGAAT